ATAGGATGTCATTAAGAGCCGCCCACTGCAGACTGGAACCAGTTGCTTGGAGTAAATTGGTGGCTACATAATATAAAGAGGTATAGATAAAACAGTTCAATACATTTTATTCACATTTTCTTTATATTTTGATGGATATAAGTGTTTTCAATAAAAAAAAATAAACTTAAATTAAGGATGGAGACTTTATGGTATTTTCTTATGGTATGGTATTTAACTTAGAAGTTTGATTTTTACACAGCTTCAAGGGACTTGAGATCGTAGTATATTGTTTTAATTTCAACTCGATACCTCTACGCGTTCCCGAGATAAAGACACAGGACACAGACAAAGTGATCTTGTAAAAGTTCCGTTTTTTTCCTTTTAAAGTACGGAACCCTAAAAATGTTAAAATGGTTTGTGTACGCTTCGAAAACTCAAAAAGTTCCACACTTATTGAACTCAAATTATGACACGATTTACAACACATTTCAAAGATTGATTTTATGTATGCGTCATTTTTGTTTCTTATTTGCCATTAATGTTTCCACAATGTGCCACAGCGAAGCGTAGCTGGGTACTGCTAGTATTATATTATCTACTAGCTGAGACCCGCGGTGTTACCCGCGTTTGTTGTTATAACCGCGGGCAACGCCGCGGGGCGAAGCTAGTCTAAAAAAAGTAGCCTAAGTTACTCCTTATGTCATTAGCTATCTGCCAGTGAAAGTCCAGTCGAAATCGGTCCAGCCGTTCCAGAGATTACCCGGAACAGACAAACAGACAGACAGACAGATAGACAGACAGACAGACAGACAAAAATTGAAAAAAATGTTATTTTGGCATATGTACCGTGTAAACATACATATGCATTTACTAAAAAGCGGTTATTTTAATATTACAAACAGACACTCCAATTTTATTTATTTGTATAGATTACTAGAAAGCGGTTATATTAATATTACAAACAGACACTCCAATTTTATTTATTTGTATAGATATGATATCTAGACACAGAACAAATGACAGTGATTGTTACTCAATTATTAATCCGGGTAATATTTCAATTCTCTGTGACTCAGAAGTCAGAATCACTTAGACAAGACCACCAGGCCAGGTTTCTGACTTAAAATTATAATTACTAATAGACATGGGAGAAAATCACATGTGATTTATCATTAGATTTTTGCATACATAGGTTAGGGTTGCTAGGTAGGTAGGTTAGGCGCTTTAACAGTAAATCTAATACTTTTAATATTTCTAGATTTACTGTTAAATAGGTGAAAAAGGGTCTTTATGTATCGTCCGAAAACAGCTTATTGGCAACAACGCGGGAGTAAGTAGTAACCCTAACCTACGTACGAAAAACTGAAATGAAAAGTCACCGGTCTTTAACAGTTCACTGTGATATTGTCCAATGCCTACTTACTACAAATAACGTTGTATAATTTTGTAGAACATTGAACAGGATGAATCATTGAGGGTCAATGAAAACAGGTAAATTCCTTGAAGTCCTTAACACGAGCGGACAGTTCAAAAGATGTAAGGATTACTTTCACTTTCAATAGCCTCTCATTACCTTTTTTAATATGAATGGTCTCAATACAACATGGCTCGCTTTCGAGGTAATGTGGACACGCACCTGTCTGGCCTTCTGGCTGGTTTAGTAACTCACAGCAAAATGTGTAAAAAGTTTCTGTAAGTAGAAGTTTGTTCGTTTTATTTTCGTTCTTTTTTATCCGTTAACTAATGTTATGTTATACCGACTGTTAACAGAAAACTAGATGATAGCTTTCACATACATACAGATATTTGTAAATAAGAGACAAGACATTGCTTTGAAGTATAATTAATCGTTAACTATGGTATAAAATATGTAACTGCAGACGATGAATGAACTCTGTCCTAAGTAGTCCGACCTCGGAGTATGAAGTACGCGTGCTTTACATAGAAACAGATGACTCCCCAATCCCATTCACCATTCATGAAATGATTTTTCGAATACTTTATATAATTATTCTATCTAACTCAATTTCCCTTTGTATTTCATGTTAAATGCTATGATAATAGAATAAATACGAGAACGAATGTCTCTCCGTCGTCCAATTTCAGTGTGAGATAGTATAACCGCTACTAGATGGCGTCACTTACCTTGATGTATTGTTTTAAATTTTTAATTTTAGCCAAAGAGTATACACACTACTTTTTAATGTTTATTTCAATTATGTTAAAAAGTAGAAAATAAAGAAAAAATAAAATCAATGTAAAAGTGAGATTGTTCTTTTTAAAAATGTATGTTTGCATTTATAATGGCCTCACCAGTCTTTCATATTTTACAGTCGTAAAAAGTGATAAACTTTATTTTTTCAACAATAATTTCAATTTTTGTTGCACTTTATAATGTTATACTTAAAAATTATAGTAGGAGACGACAACGCAACTATTTTTATGAAAGAATAAAGTTTTAATAATGTATTAGCGGTAGTTTATTAACATATAGTTAGGTAATAAATTAATATCGAATTTACAAATGTATATCATTATGTATAATAATAAGATATATTTTACAGGATAGATGCGGTGCACCTGTTTCTGTTTATAGGTATAGTTGTCTATGGTGTCAGAGGGGCAGAGTCATGCGGGGTTGATGTCCCATCTGGCGCGAGGGTGCCTCTATTACGCGGGAAAATAACAAACACGGCACGCCATAGCGTCATGGTGTTCGGTATCTACGGTTTATTGATATTGTATTGGATAGTTTTTAAAGCGATCTTTAGTTGAACTTCCATGCCTGTTATTGAACGCATCTGGTGCGTACGCACTATCTGATTAAATGAATGATGATAAAATGATCTTGTTGGAGAAAAGTCACTCCTGTGTCGTAAGCCATACATACCACACTTGCATGCAATATTGTTAACATATTTATCACGATAAGAATTTGGATTTGAGAAACCAAACTGCTGTTTTATTAGAGTTATTTCAATGTTTACTTTTATCTGTAAAGCGGTGATTTCTTCAAAAAAAAAAAGAAACTCTTATAAATATATTGTGTATTGATTAGTGATCTCTGGATTATTAGTAGGTAACTAACTTAGGTAATCTCTGGCAGGTACCTGACCATTTTAAAACCAGGATGTTGGAAGAAGTCTCTGCAATCAACAGGAGACTTATGAGAGCACAATTAAATATTGAAAGGAATATTTAGTATAAAGTAAGTTTTTAAAGCGAGATTTTGTCCGTTCCTTACTTTCGTAAGTAGTCTACGGCATAGAATTTTTTTAGTGCAAAATACGTCCACGTTACACGTTATGAATACCCATAGGACTAGGACGACACGGACTCAAAACTCACATTTCAATTAGGTATTAATCAAATAATGAATAATTATAATAGGAATTAAATCAACACTTAATTATTTTAATAGAAAATATTTATTTTATGTAGCCATGTGTTTTCAGGTAAAATTGTTTTACTTAAAACCGAACGTTATATATTTACGAATAGCCGAAAATAAAAAATCCCTTTGAGGCTTTTCTCTGTTATTGTTACCTTAATTCCGTGGACGAAACGTATCCGATGAGGATACTTTTTATGATAAAATTCTATGGTCTTTGGACAGATTGAAAGGTATCGTTGAAGAGAAGGGTAGACTCTTGTCTCTAAAGACGAAGTGTAAAAAATCGAGCCAAATTACAACTAAGTAGACGTATAAGGGAAGAAGTTTAAGCTATTTTTTCTAAAATGAACATAAAAATGATTATATATGACAGAAGTATATGCCTCATACTCTTAAATGGCTCTATTACTTGTTATTTATTCTCACAAGAAAAAATAAGTTTAGACGAGCCCTGAAATTGCTTCTGTAATGTATCTAATTTTATAGTCTTCTTTCAGACAATGTAAGTGGGTTTTCTCGCTAAATTATAAATTGAAACATCAAAGACATAAGTGTTTGTAGAATACAATCCATTATCTGATTGCTATATTATAAAACATTGTTATAACAAAAAAAAATGGCAATTTAAAAAGCCAGTATCAAGGGTTTCAATGTTTGTTTAGCTGTGCATTATTTAAAAATATAGTATTTAATATAGACTTTCTAGTCTAAATTAAGCATTAATACTCTCTCTTAAGCAACAGGTTTGAAATAACATTTACCAAAAACCTGTTACGAATTATAAGACTTTATGTTAACCTAAAACACTGTTAAACAAACTTTTGCTCTTTCATGTTACATTCGCAAACAAACAAGAAATCCAAAAGGATCCGTCAACGTATATTTAAACATCTTAGATATTCCGCGCAAAATTTAGAATCACACAAGTTTACCCAAAAGTTTAGCTGTTTTGAACTTAAAACTGTTAATGTTTCGAGTTGCTAAGTCTAGCATTGCAGGCTACGAGTTGTTGCTTGCCTTTGACTTGTAATTTAGATCGTAGCATTTGCGTATCAAGGTTTCTTCAAAATGAACATTCAGTGAATTAAAGTTCTTCACTTTGTCTGTCCGTAATTTTCCTCAACGATTTAATTTATGTTACTCACTCGTAAAACTTAATATATATTGATGCGATGTCTTGATCGTAAGTTTATATTTTAGTTTCTTTGAGACTGTCTAGGATATAAAGAAGTAGTCTGATCTTTGATTTTGTGTATGTCACTTTTCACACACATAGGTAATATTTCAACATATTGAAATAACCTGTTCAAATTATACTAGACTAATAGTAAATTTACATTCTTCATAAAACTCTCTTAAGAACCACAACATTACCGGTTCAAAGCTCAAGAACCATACAAAATGCCAAATTCCTTATTTCCTTATAAACACAGCTATAAACAAAAAATAATCAAATTCTGAACAGCTTATATTTACTCAATAAAATCCCACATTTTAGATTAAACCTAATTGAGAATAAAATTCTAACCCTGTGACCGTAGACTTAAAAACATTATTCATCTGTAAAGTTAAACGTTAACTATTTATTCAACACGTTCCCAGTACCAGTTTACATCTAAATCTGTCAACCACCAATCCAGTAACAATTACATTCATTTCCTCTCACATTGAATCCCAGTAAAAAATAAAAAGCCTCAAATGTAAGCGCGGCAGCTGGCACACCGGTGCGGCGCGCGCGCACGTCGCATGCGCCTTGCGGCTTGCTCCTCTCGGGCGGAGTGGGGTTAGTGACCGCGATCGGATGCGCCGGCGACCCCGCGCGAGGCATTTCCGCCCACTTCCGAATCGACCACCCTTAACCATTTTAGTCTAGACTACGAATTCCTGTGACATCCGTTGTTGGCCTTGAAAATGTCACTGTCAGTTTGCATACGTCTGAAAGAGATAGATGAATGAAATTAGTGTGCTAACCTAAGCTCGATCCAGTTTTATTGGCATCGGTATTGAATAAGATTACACCGCAAGCCTTCTGAACATGTTAAGAGAGATGAGGTCCGTTGTTGGAATGAACTTATAACTTATACTTAAATTAAACTATTTTTAACACGAATAAAGTTATTTAATTAAAGTATATTTTAAAAGTAAGAAACATATTATTTCCATTTCGTTTAGTGAGTGTGAACGCACGTTCACTGCAAAAATCTGGTATGTCAGTAGGTTTATATGCATTTGCTTAATTTTTGAAAATCTTTCAGTATTTCTAGTCTTTTAATAAAGTTTTTCTGGTGACCTTTATATTGGTTATTTTTATAGCAATGGACCTCCCTATCGGTTTAGAATAATTTCTAAGAGACCGCAGCCAAACGGGTCTTGTTAGGAAATTTTATATGTATATAACTAATCGGCGCGACAATTTTGATTGTTCAGCTAGATTTTGCTTATGTGTCACAGAACTTTACTTTTGTTTAGGATTCAGAAAATTGAATGGGACTTTAAGCCATGATTTCGTTGCATTTTACCGAGCGATTGAGGACCAATCACCCCACCACCTCCCTCCCTGTTTCATGGACAACTTATTTGCAGTTGTCAAAGCGTCGGTAGTTAGGCAGTTACTTACCATAAGATTCTGCTCGTTTTGATGGCTAGAACTCAATAGGAGTTTTTGAACTAATTGTCTGTTCAATTTACCGTGGGACCGACCGTGAAGTGTAGATGTACTCTACGTATACTACGGTATAGGTAGGAACCTAACGAAATTTCTGGAAGTGGAAACTATGTAAACAGATGTGTATAGTATCCAAATACTTAAATTGCGGATATATAAAAATCTATTTTAAATTATTTATCATCGGAATCAGGACAGCTGAGTGAATGGAGTTTTATTGCATCTCACGTTCATTGGGTTATAAGGAGTCGGCGCTCAAATCCAGCTTCCAGTAAGCGTATGATACCTACGTAATCACTTCTTGTTACCATTATGAAATTTAGTCACATATTAAGTGACAAATCGAAAAATCTGTCATTTTAAGTATTTTGTTTATTACAAACATCGCAAGTGCGCAATTTTGTAATACCAATGCATACACCTACCATAAGATAAATTCGTATAATCTAGTAGGTATGTGTAAATATATTTCAAATGAGTAAGATGGGCTTAAAAGTATTTTTGCGAGCATTTGTCGTATGATATTCAAATTATAACTATCGCTAATACTAGCCTTTAACGGCGTCTGAACTCACTCACTCACTGTTGAACGATAAGAAAATAAATTATCTTCTCTCGAACGATAAAGAGTCTGATTTACGAAACGGATGCACAATTTGTGGTCCTATACACATATGTCTCCTGTTAACAATAAAAATATTTCAAACAACACGTTGACCAACTATCTGTCATACAAAAAACATATCGCGAACAAAAGTGGTTTGAAAATCAACACGATACAAAGCAAAGCGAGTAGTAACGACCTATATACAAATACCTTAAGTTCGTTTAGGGCGATGCGTTTGTATCTTAAACTTTATTAACCATTGCATGTTGTTCAATCAAATTGAAAATGAGAGCGTATATGGAAACTGTAGTGTATGCAATATCTTTGGCCGGTGACAATATGATTTCGCATGCGCTACGGACGTCTCGAGGGCATACGGTGGCTTTGAAACATAAAAGTTGTATATGGAGCATAGCAGTATCTGAATTTCGACTATGTATTAAGCTAGTAAGAGTCCAAACACGGCTGAAATGCACTAAATATAAGTCTTTTTAAAATTGAACTTGCAGGTTGAACGCCGATCGGTCGCATTCGGGTGCCGTCGTCGCGCACGTGCACACGGCGGGAACGGGACTCTATTAAATGTAGGGCTGCCTGCCTTATATCTCCGACATCGTAATACTGTTTTGCACCCCGCGCTACTCTTCCAAAATAATTACTTTTACGACTTCGGAGGTACTATTTTTTTCACAACAGCATCATGACAACTTGAAAAATACTTTTATAAACAAAGCACGAATACTTTATCTATATATAATATATTAGGGATTAAAGTTTTAATTTTTCAGTACAAATCGGCAATTTCATAATTGCCGATTTGTACTGAAAAATTAAAACTTGTTTTTTTTCTAAGATATAATATATCTATTTAATTAAAATATTTACCCTCATTATCTATACATTGCTGCCATTAAAACGCAAGTTAATTTATGCCTTTACTCTCTGGGGATCTAGGTTGGACAAACTTTGTGAAGGCATTTTGTACTGCCTCCTGGGAAGAAAATATTTTATCACGTAGAAAATAGTCCAAAATCACAAAAAAATTGGAGCAAGGTCTGGTGAGTACGGAGGATGACGTTTGGATGACTGCAGCTCCTGTAGAGTTACAACGGTTTCTCTTGCAGTGTGAGGTCTTGCATTATCATGGAGCAATAATGGTGAAGATCGATACACGAGTCGGGGCTGTTTCACTGCCAGTTTCGCCATGATGTACGAAGTTCGGCACAGTAAACATCTGCTGTTACTGCCTGACCAAACCTAAGAAAGCTATAGTGAATAACACCATGAAGAGACCACCAAACAGTTACCATTATTTTTCATTGGTAAGCTTTGCTTTAGGGTACTGTTTACATACCCTTTCGATTACCTACAAACATAAAAAAAAAAAACAAAAAAACAGACGAATTGATAACTTCCTCTTTTGTGTTTTGGTAGTCGGTTAAAAATGACTCGGATTTCATTATACATTCTCGTGAAAAATGGATACAAAGTATCCATTTTTCACGTCTAAGCTAAATAAAAAAACTATTATAAGTCGAAAATCGTATGTTGGACATTTTTTTAGACAAGAACCTCATAGGTTTCATGTAAAAAAAGTTTCACACGAAAATCTCACACCATGAAGGTTTTATGTCAAGTCAAAGTATCTATTACTATATAACGGCAATTTCATACTTAAACCCCTTTTATTTTTATAAGTTGACTGAGATTCTCTTCTGACAGATTTAATAGAATTAATAAATAACGAGATTAAGTATCTTCAGCGAATAATGTTTCGGCCTATAACATTAAATTCTGGAATATAGATTTTGTTATAAAGCAACGGCTTATTAAATTGACATTGTCACCTGTTTCATTGTCTTAAAGTTATTGTTCTAAGGTCTTGAATGTATCGTCACTGTCACCTTTTCGTAAATCATTACCTCATCATTTATACGGCGCACAACGTGGCAGCAATATCAAGTTTCACAGTTCAATATCGCTCAACATCCAATGTCGAATACTATAAAAATTTAAACATTTGTGCTATAAAATGCATGACGTGTTATGATCACTATTTGGTGCAATCATGTCACGATGGAAAGGTTATGAACTTCTGGACTCGCTCAATGAGCATTTCCGGTCTTTATTTTTTTTAATTTTTGACTCTTGAAGTCGTGATATACTTACCTTAGAGACATAAATACATATATGCAAAGGCGTATTTTGAAAAGAATCCCATGCCAATGGCTATTCTAAAAATTTCGAAATTGAACTATCAAAACAACACCTAAGGCTTTTATTAATTAAAATACTTAACATAAGAATGAGCACTACGTTTTGTGATATAAATAGATAATTTTTTATCGCGTTGTACAATTTCATGTATTACACATGAATATATGATGTCAATAAGTTTTTTAGTTATTTCTGTGTCCTATATAAGGAATAACTGAATTATTCATTTGTTGTTCGCGTATAAAGAAACCAAACTGTGTCTTGAAGTTTACACTACAAGGTCCAAGGTATAAAATTACTAGTGATCCCCCTCCCACAATTGGGGGGTTGGGCTTCCGTTAACCTCACTAGCTCGGCGAGAAGCACCGAAAGAATTGTTCAAACCGGTTTTCTGTGAAGCTATGGTACCACTTCAGTGGAGGTGCTCATTACACAATTATTTGCCTTAAGTTTGCTTTAAGTAGGAATCGAACCCGCAACCTCTGGCTCAGCAGTAAGGGTTATTAAACACTAGTCTAACATCACGAATCTCATAAATAAAGGAAGTTAAAAACACGACGATGAAACTTCTTGAATCATGGTTGAGGTACTTATTTTAAAGTAGGATTACTACCCGGATTTAAAAACGTAGCTTTTTCTTTTAATGTTAAGTAACTTGAAGTACAACTGTACAACCAATTACACCTACTAATAAATAATGTTGGAAATCGGTTCACAAACGACGAATAAATCTGCTAATACACGCTCTTAATGAAATTATACCCTATTATTATTTAATGGCTTAATGCAGTACTAGTTTCAACAACACCATTGTTTAATTTTTTAAACAAGACGTTTGTCAAATATTTGCGCCAACATTATCCAACGAAAGTGAAAAGACATGGTAATATTAGACCAACAGTTGTGGTTTCGGTGATGATTTCATTAATTATTTTGTGAAAGGCGTTTTGTGCATATAACCTTCATAAAACCTTGACTATTTATCTGTTACGGATGCATTTTACTTGTTCGAACTACGAATCTTTTACTTGATAATTCAGGCTTTGCTCTTTTAATTTATTTAATGGAATGTCACTGAGTCGTAGAATCAATCGTACACGTAAATCCAACAGGTATCTATTCACTACACTCTGAAACTTTTCAGGATTATAATCGTGTGAAAAATAGACAGCCTGTTCATTCCAAAACAGAGCTTTTAAAGCGTTAGAATTTATGGTGTTATTGGTTACTGTAAAAAAATTATTATTAATTACTAATAATCATTAAATGAGGTTTAAAAACTTTGTTTGCTGACTTCAATAAACCAATACGTTTTAATTGGTTTAATTGAAACGAAAAG